AGGTCGCCTGTCCAACCTCGTGGGTTTCCTCCAGGTCCTCCGGTTTCCTCCCACTGCTAAAAGACCCCTACGCGCAAGCGAATTATTGAAATAAAATTAAACCATATGTTAGTCTCAATTACGTATAAACGTAATGACCAGTGAAGTAATACAAGGCGGTGGTGTATACCTACTATTTTAAAACTATGTCTTTATCCCATGTAATATTTGTTGTGCGTTATAGTATTAGTCCACGCTTGACATCCCACCTTTAACAATAGTTTATTTTATTCCACGCTAGCTACATCTATATTTGTTGTGCGTTATATGTCTTTATCCCATGTAATATTTGTTGTGCGTTATAGTATTAGTCCACGCTTGACATCCCACCTTTAACAATAGTTTATTTTATTCCACGCTAGCTACATCTATATTTGTTGTGCGTTATAGTTTTAGTCCACGCTTGACATCCCACCTTTAACAATAGTTTATTTTATTCCACGCTAGCTACATCTATATTTTTTGTGCCTTAGTTTTATTCCACGCTTGGCATCCCATCTTTCTAGTTTGTTTAGTCCACGATCGGCGTCCGATCTTTTACAATTTTTTTTAATGAACGTCAGGCATTCCATCTTTTACAATATTTTCTTTTAGCTTTGGCAGTGTTTTATTATTTACGATTTCTACCTTAAAATACGAGGATATTACAGCCACCATAGTTCGCATTATAACATCAAAAACTTCAAGAACTGTTAAAACACTTGCACCAAGAAAAAAGCCCATGAAACCTCCCATACTACTCACTACTTCGTCCAAAGTTAATTCGGGAACGTGACTAATGTAGGTTACCATCAAACTATTGAATTTTATGGTTATCCTCATTAAATTGCGTCGAGCATCTTCTAAACTTGAAGCGAAGTTTCCAGCAATCAAAAATTCCACTAAAGATTCAGCTGGAAAGAAGCTGGCCGACAAATCCTGATCGTACACCACATCTGAACAAGGCCGAGGACAATCACACAACTCTGTTGCGTTACCAGAATATGAGGTATCAAAGTAGAATTTTCCTACGAAAGGCGTCACACAGAGTCGTCGCTGTGTTACGGTGCAGTATTTATCTGATGCATTCTGTACTTCGTACTCTGTAATGCACCCACACGTTTCCAAAACCATATCAGTGAGACACTCCAGTAGACACCCTCGATAAGAATAACGGGGAAAGTATTTCAAATTCTTCTTGAAGCTGGAATGTGATGTTGTTACGCAATCCGCAGATTGGTATGAATTATAAGGATGTGGCAAGTACGTGTAATCCTGGACGGTTAACGACACTTCATAAGCTTGGCCTGGTGACAGAACACTGCATGGAGTTCTCACATCAAATGGTTCGTCCGATGGATGGATGCACAACAACATACCAGCAGTATGAGATTCAAAGGCGTAGAGATCTTGATTTATATTCACATACATTTGTAATTGATCGTCAACATTAGACATCCTCCGGTTTACATCTTTCTGTATCCATTGTCCATTATATGTGAAGCATGCATACATAGACCACCTGTAATTCATTTGGAAATAATTGCTAGGATTGGCGTAATACTCTGCTCCATGAGTGACATACAAGAACATGTCACTAGCATTGAAGATTACACTTTCAAGATCTCCCGGTGTCACGACGATGCTGTTCCATTTCGGACCAGAGAAATAACTGGCGTTGGTTACACTAAGTGCATTTTGTCCGTACAAAAATTGATACAAATCGCTGGACTTATTCATTTTGATTTTATTAAAGGAATGGGAATTGCACAAGGTGATCGCTGGAAACTCCAAATTATCGTAAAATTTGATATTAGTTTTAGTTCGGTAATTATATTGTTTGTAAGTCGTATATAAATAATGTAAATTCATAACCAGTAAAGCAAAAAACACAATCACTGACAAAAACCAAAAAACTCGACTCACCACATGTTTATTTCCATGTGTTAAATAATGACACCCATGGAGTGATGTATCACTTAAAAATCCTTTCCAGATCCGTTTGACTTTGGTTCCAGCGTTGTTCATGTTGGAAACTACCATTACCGTCTGTAACCAGGTTCAGATCGACTACTGAGTATACATATATCAGTTATCAATTATATGGGTTTGTTTTAGACGGTTTAACTGCCTTCCTTTCCATTAACAGATCAAAAAAAACTTTGTTTAATAATTGTTTAAAACACACGGAATGTAATACCACGCTGTTTACAATATGATATAGATGACAATCGTTTAAATGAAATCGATGTTTTCATATCGTTGTTAAGGTGATGAATGCACGATGCCTCACCAATCATAGTGTTAAAAATAAATTATGAAGCTACAATAGAAGTATTTGACTAAATGAATATACTATAGACTAAAGAGAAAATTATAATAAAATACATTAATTTTAAATATAATATCATTCATTACATCCTTACATTCATTTAATCATGGGGATCACATGGCTAAGTGGGTAAGGCGCTGGCTCGCTAGCCTGGAGGTCGGGTGTTCGATCCCTGCATTGGCCGAGAAAGTTCATCTCGATTTCCCGGCGTGGTTTCCCTTGTCAGTGATGAAGGACGGAGGGCCTGACAAGGACAGCTGTCTAGTCCTTCGGATGAGACGAAAAACCGAGGTCCCGTGTATACATTGGAGTGCACGTAAAAGATCCCTTGGCAGTTGGAATTCGATATAAGAGTAGGCCGTAGCGCCGCTGCCCGGGCAAAATTTCCCTCATAGCACACTGTATGGCGTATGCCCGTCTTCAATTAGCCCAGGTTAGGTGCAGAAGAGTAGGACGTTAAACCCCATTTCATTTCATTTCATTTCATTTAATCATCGGAAATCGGTTATACAAACGGTTAAAGGGACATTCCCACTCCCTGCACAGGCACTTTAGGTGTATGAGATATTAGATTTATTTAATGTTCCTCCTCGTGTTACTTTAATCACTCCCAATAGCAGTGTAGAAGTCGAAGAAAAAGTTAACGCAACTTATACATGTTCAAATCATTCATTTAATAACAGCCATATTAATATTGTTAAATCGTCTAAAATAGGTACTTATATTTGTCGAACTTCAACAAACAGTGTTGACCATGCATAGTCTATTGTTAATATAACTGATTCTTTTAATTCGTTCTCTGATAACAGCCTTCAGTCTACCACACTGTTATCGGCAATTAGTGATGAGGGTAATGAAACAGATGTTGATACTTATAACATGAGAGATTCCTTTTCCAATCCATTCATCACTAAACGTCATGGATTCAAACTTTGTCATCTAAATATCAACAGATTTTACAGTGAATTTGATGAAATAAATGATTTTATTCTTGGTGAATCTAATAAGATTGATATTTTAGGTCTAACTGAAACAATTTTACACTCAAAGATGAATGACGCATATATAAATATTTCTAATTTTGAAATAATTCGGAACAAAAAATGCATAAAATTTGGATTAGGATTAATTATGTATGTAAAGTCTAACATCATAATTAAAAAACGGCTAGATCTATAGATTGGTGAAATTGGAACAATATGGGTCGAAATTACACCAAAATATAGAAAATCATTATGCTTTGGTTACCGACCATTTTCAATTATTTTTGAACATATATTACGGTGATAAAGTCGAACGTTTAAATACGCTACTTCAGTTCTAAATCGGATGGTTCTTATGCTATAGAATTCAGTCGGAGTGCCCTCCTGCAGTGCTATGGCCTTTGCGACCATATTGTATCTTTAACTTATTATTGGGCAGAATCTCAAGTCATGACGTTAATAAACACAAACCAGCTATTTAAGATTTAGATATCATTGGGTTCCTAGACCATATGATTACGGTTTTCTGAATCTAGCCAGACTGGTTAGACTTTTACAGGAGTTGGGGTTGAGAGAAAGACGTTAAGTATGCTAATGTAATCCAGTGCCGGATTAACCTTGTCGGGGGGGTGGCATACCAACTGTGCGGGGGCCCCATTGTTGTTTGTTCAAATTGTTCGTACTGACCGCGGATCGTACTAGTATATACTCCACCCCCTTGAGTGCCTGGGGTGTTTTCCTCCGGGAATTTGTTTTTAAAATTAGGATTAATTTCAGTGCATTTAGGCAGCGATTTCATTGACGTTTAGAATTCGTTGACAATTTGAGTATTTTAAACAGACTCTTTCTCTTATGATGTTTTCATTTATTTGTCCCACTTGCCCCCCCCCCCTAAATCCGGTACTGATGTAATCTTTTATGCATTGTAACCATAGGTATCCAGCTTGACGTAAAACTGTAGAGCTGAACTGTTGCATTGTTATTCCTAATGACAAGATATTCATCTTATCAGCTGAGATAGTAAGAACAAAATAAGTGAAATGAAATGAAATGGGGTTTAACGTCCTACTGTTCTGCTCCTAACCTGGGCTAATGAAGACGGGCATACGCCATACAGTGTGCTATGAGGGAAATTTTACCCGGGCAGCGGCACTACGGCCTACTCTTCTATCGAATTCCAACTGTCAAGGGATCTTTTACGTGCATTCCAATGTATACACGGGACCTCGGTTTTTCGTCTCATCCGAAGGACTAGACAGCTGTCCTTGTCAGGCCCTCCGTCCTTCATCACTGACAAGGGGGAACCACGCCGGAAAATCTGGATGAACTTTCTCGGCCAATGCAGGGATCGCACACCCGACCTCCGGGCCAGCGAGCCAGCGTCTTACCCACTTAGCCACGTGATCCCCGTAATTACTTATATATCTTTTCTTTAGTCTATAGGGGGGTTGTTGGATGGCTGAATGGTTAGCGTGCGCCGGCTGTATCATAAAGTCTGTCATTGAGTCGACTGGCGTGGTTTCGAATCCCCGGTTGTACTTAAAATAAAGACACTCGCACGTGCTTTGCAATGAATTACAACACAGGGGTCCAAAAGTTTAACTAGTATAAATAATGCACGCTTGGCATATTGCCCGTACCATTATTTGAAATATGACACGCCAACATCAAAGGATGACGTCACATCTGTACTTTAAAGATAAAGATAACACATTAAAATCAGAAAGAAAATAAACAAGGATAATTAGTATGTCCAATAGTGCTTTGTTAGCCTAAAGTATGTACAAATATTGAATATAAACCATTAAAATCAGAAAGAAAATAAGCAAGGATAATTATTATGTCCAATAGTGCTTTGTTAGACTAATGTATATACAAATATTGCACATACCGTATCAAGTACACAAAAAGGTGTACCGGGCAATGAAACATAGTGTTTGATGTTTATACAGAAAATTGAATAACCTATACATAGATGTAGGTGCTCTTTAAAACAGTAATTATAAAAGAACGCCTTGTCTCGTCATATAAGCGGTGCATTCGTTTTGCCAAATTGCCAAAACCGCCAAATGCCAAAAATGTGTTATTTATTGTGTTACGTCGTATGTGACAACACATAAGTATAAATATTCTATATTTAATGTTATAACGTATGAAAGTGATGCATAAAAATATGAACAACACATATGTATACATATTAAAATATTAACACTGTACTATATTTAGTACTATAACGTGATATACAAAAATATGGACAACACATAAGTATAAATATTAAGATATTATCACTATTCTATATTTAGTGTTATAACGTGATATATAAAAATATGGATAACACATATGTATAAATAGTTAAATATTAACACTATAACGTGATATATATAAAAATATGGATAACACATATGTATAAATATTTAAATATTAACACTATAACGTGATATATAAAAATATGGACAACACATACGTATAAATATTAAAATATTATCGCTATTCTATATTTACAATCTGATTAAAATACAGATCTATATTTCGTTTCGTTTTTTATACTTTCGATGGCCTACACTACATGAAGATCTGACAAGTTATAGCGATAGGTCACGTCACGTGATCCCCCTCTTCGTAAATACTAAACGGAATTGAACCATTTTCGGACTAACATGCCTATTAGAGATTCATCTTTCACAATATTGTTGTTTGCAAGGGATTCATATTGCACTAACATGACGTAATAAGACTTTAAATAAAATGTTACATAATACATGTCAGTACCAACCGGGTTACATTATTCCCAACATTTATTGATTAAATTTACACAATTAACAATCAAATATTACACTCGATTAGTAGAAACAATTAAAATGTGTATTTAAATCTTCTTCGGACTTTCGCTATAATATGAAAATAGGTGACCAAACAGGGATGGTCAACCATGGAAGCATTTGTCGAAGGTGACGAATTGGGTGATTAGAAGTTCCGCATTTTATCCCTAATTATAATGCAATGCAATAAGCTAACTAATTATTCTTAGCAATTTCATTATTTCTTGCACATCTTTTTTTTATCAAATGTTATCTACTTTCAATGGAGGGGTGGGGGCGATTGGTTAGTACGTGCGTGCTGTATCATAAGGTCTGTTATTGAGTCAACTGGCGTGGTTTCGATTCCCCGGTTGTACGTGGCAAGGAGTAAGGTCGCCTATCCAACCTCATGGGTTTTGTCCGGGTCCTCCGGTTTCCTCCCACTGCTAAAAGACCCCTACGCGCAAGCGAATTATTTAAATAAAATTAAACCATATGTTAGTCTCAATTAAGTATAAACGTAATTACCAGTGAAGTAATACAAGACGACAGTGTATACCTACTATTTTAAAACTATTTCTTTATCCCACGTCATATTTGTTGTGAGTTATAGTTTTAGTCCACGCTTGACATCCCACCTTTAACAATAGTTTATTTTATTCCACGCTAGCTACATCTATATTATTTGTGCCTTTGTTTTATTCCACGCTTGGCATCCTATCTTTCTAGTTTTTTTTAGTCCACGATCGGCGTCCCATCTTTTACAATGTTTTTTTCAATCAACGTTAGGCATTCCATTATTTACAATATTTTCTTTTAGCTTTGGCATCGTTTTGTTATTTACTATTTCTACCTTGAAGTACGAGGCTATTATGGTCGCCATAGTTCGCATTATAACATCAAAAACTTCAAGAACTGTTAAAACACTTGCACCAAGAAAAAATCCCATAAAACCTCCCATACTACTCACTACTTCGTCCAAAGTTAATTCGGGCACGTGACTAATGTAGGTTACCATCAAACTATTGAATTTTATGGTAATCCTCATTAAATTACTTCGAGCATCTTCTAAACTCGAAGTGAAATTTCCAGCAATTAAATATTCCACTAAAGATTCTGCTGGGAAGAAACTGGCCGACAAATCCTGATCGTACACCACATCTGAACAAGGCCGAGGACAATCACACAACTCTGTTGCGTTACCAGAATATGAGGTATCAAAGTAGAATTTTCCTACGAAAGGCGTGACACAGTCTCGTCGCTGTGTTACGGTGCAGTATTTATCTGATGCATTCTGTACTTCGTACTCTGTAATGCACCCACACCTTTCCAAAACCATATCAGTGAGACACTCCAGTAGACACCCTCGATAAGAATAACGGGGAAAGTATTTCAAATTCTTCTTGAAGCTGGAATGTGATGTTGTTACGCAATCAGCAGATTGGTATGAATTATAAGGATGTGGCAAGTACGTGTACTCCTGGACGCTTAACGACACTTCATAAGCATGTCCTGGTGACAGAACACTGCATGGAGTTCTCACATCAAAAGGTTCGTCCGGTGGATGGATGCACAAATACATTCCGGCCGTAAGAGATTCAAAGGCGTAGAGATCTTGATTTATATCCACGTACATAACTAATTGATCGTCAACATTAGACATCCTCCGATTTACATCTTTCTGTATCCATTGTCCATTATATGTAAAGCATGCAAACATAGGCCACATGTACTTCATTTCGAAATAATAACTAGGATTGGCGTAATACTCTAGTCCATGAGTGACATACAAGAACATGTCACTAGCATTGAAGAATGAACTTTCAAGATCTTCTGGTGTCACGACGATGTTGTTCCATTTCGGATCAGAGAAATAACTGGCGTTGGTTACACTAAGAGTATTTTGTCCGTACAAAAACTGATACAAATCGCTGGACTTATTCATTTTGATTTTATTAAAGGAATGAGTGTTACATAATGTGATCGCTGGAAATTCCAAATTATCATTAAATTTGATATTAGTTTTAGTTCGGTAATTATATTGTTTGTAAGTCGTATATAAATAATGTAAATTCATAACCAGTAAAGCAAAAAACGCAATCACTGACAAAAACCAAAAAACTCGACTCACCACATGTTTATTTCCATGTGTTAAATAATGACATCCATGGAGTGATGTATCACTTAAAAATCCTTTCCAGATCCGTTTGACTTTGGTTCCAGCGTTGTTCATGTCGGAAACTACCATTACCGTCTATAACCAGGTCAGGATCGACTACTGAGATAAAAATATCAGTTATCAATTATATGGGTTTGTTTTAGACAGTTTAGCTTCCTTTCGTTCCATTAACAGATCAAATAAAATTTGTTTAACAATTGTTTAAATCACACGGAACGTAATACCACGCTAAACTATCTGCTTACAATATGGTGTAAATGACAATCGTTTAAATGAAATCGATGTTTTCATATCGTTGTTAAGGCGATTAACATACGATGCGTCATCAATCATTGTTTTAAAAATATATTATAAAACGACAATAAATATTTGACGTGCCAACTTGATTTTAACTAAATAAATATATAGACTAAAGAGAAGATATATAAGTAATTACGGGGATCACGTGGCTAAGTGGGTAAGACGCTAGCTCGCTGGCCCGGAGGTCGGGTGTGCGATCCCTGCATTGGCCGAGAAAGTTCATCCAGATTTTCCGGCGTGGTTCCCCCTTGTCAGTGATGAAGGACGGAGGGCCTGACAAGGACAGCTGTCTAGTCCTTCGGATGAGACGAACAAACCGAGGTCCCGTGTATACATTGGAATGCACGTAAAAGACCCCTTGACAGTTGGAATTCTATAGAAGAGTAGGCCGTAGTGCCGCTGTCCGGGCAAAATTTCCCTCATAGCACACTGTATGGCGTATGCCCAGTTCTTCATTAGCCCAGTTCGGACCAAAACAGTAGTACGTTAAACCCCATTTCATGTTATTTCATTTCTAAAGAGAGGATATAAAAGTAATTACATTTGAATAATGTCAATCACTATACCCTTGCAGTCATCTAATCATCGGATATAGGAACGGTTATAAGGAGGGGAGTGGGGTGGATATCCAAATGATTAGTACCCGTGAGCAGTACCATAAGGAGGGGCATTGAGTCAACTGGCGTGGTGTCGATTCCCCGATTGTACGTGACAAGAAATAGGGTCGCCTGTCCAAGCTCAAGTTTTACTCGGATCTTTGTCTCCACCTATACTTCCCATTGAATTCTAACTACAAAGGGCTCGGGTCGGTACACGACAATACGTGCATCGCAATATCAGAACGATATGTAATCTTGTAAGCAACAGTTGTTACTCTAGCCAATCCAAAACAAAACTGTATTTCAATATTAATGAATATATTGTTCTCTATTCTTTGTTAAAGAGCAGAACAGTCGAACGTTAAATCTCATTTCGTTTCTTAGTTTTTAAGATTGCATCGATTGCTATATAGCCACGCTTTTCACTCATGACCAATTAATTTCCTGTCAATACCAACAGATATGGGGCTTATTATTTGTTATCAGATTTATCATAGTTGAAATCCAATACACTTTGTTTAAATTGCTATTCAATGTATATCTATCTAAAAGTTGTTCAACATCAATTATTTGTTCAAACAGCGGTATTCATTAATGAAATCTGGATGAAGTTGATATAATGATACTGATGTCGCATGGGGAGTTATATCACTATTGTCAATTACTATTAAAGTATATTTTATACATTAGATATCAATTCTTTAACATAAATGTCAAGTCATTGACTAGCTTCGGTCACCCAGAACCCTCTCGTCTTCAACGTACGGAGGGTCTGGGATCGTTGTCCATATTTTGATGAAACGTTCCACTGCCCATGCGTAACCGAGAGTTTGGTTTTTTATGTGGTTGACTATTCAGTATTATTGAAATGCAATGAAATGAAACGGGGTTTAACGTTCTGCTGTTCTGCTCCTAAACTTGGCTAATGAAGACGGGCGTACGCAATACAGTGTGCTATGAGGGAAATTTTGCCCGGGCAGCGGCGCTACGGCCTACTCTTATATCGAATTCCAACTGCCAAGGGATCTTTTACGTGCACGCCAATATGTACACGGGACCTCGGTTTTTCGTCCCATCCAAACGACTAGACAGCTGTCCTTGTCAGGCCCTCCGTCCTGCATCACTGACAAGGGGAAACCACGTTGGAAAATCTGGATGAACTTTCTCAGCCAATCAAAACAGTGGATAATCGAGACTATGCTGTTTATATTAATGATTTTAGTAATGATGACCCAGACTATGCGAAAATTTCACCCGCTTCGTTCTCGGCTCATAGTGGATCAATTTGATTGAAATTTTCAGCAAATTACCTTTACACTATCTAGTTTTTAACTATTAACTGCCATCTCTTTATCTTATCTCCCATAATGTATCTTTAATTCTACAATATTGCGACTGTGACTTTGGAGATGAAATGAAATGAAATGAGGCTTAAGGCCCTACTTTTCTGCACTGACTGGGATAGTGACTTTGGACAAACTAGGTAAATTTGTGAAAATTAATTTTGTTGATTTATGGGCTTCTAACTTTGGACAAACATTGTAAATTTGTTAAAGTTAATTTTGTATTGTTATATTTGATATGTGTGATCTGTGACTGAGTACAATAGTTTATGAAAATAAAGTACATTTTTTTATATTGGATAGTGAACACAGCTAGTTGATCGTTTGTGAATGCAAACTCCGTCTGTCTTGGATACAGGTGGATGCAGATCACCATTAAATTTCGCCATTTCGGTACCATTGTATATTTTTTGAATGGTGGCATTATCCCCCCTTTCGCATGCCCATTTGTGTTGATATTTTGATCTAGAATGGACGAATAGGGTTTTAATTAACATTTTCTGCCAGGTTTTGGTTAATATTCATGATTTTCAGGCGGAAGGATCACAGTGTTATCAGGTTGGTTACGGCAATATGTACAGCGAATAGTTACATGTTTTTATTATACTACTTCAAGTTTGTATATCTGAAAGTGTCATTGCCATTTGTATCTCTGACTGTAATGAATAACATTGAGCTCAACAAAAATTTGGAGAAAGTTTGGACCGGACAGAATAACACTGATTTCAATTTGGGAAATTAATGGTGGTCTGTATCCAAGTAAAGCTCGATTATCCCTCTTTAACGGAAAACTCTCGAAATCATAGGGGATACTCGATTGAACGTTCCGGAATTTAATCCCCAAAAGCGACAATCGAGTGAAAAGGGGGCTTTCGGGCTAGAACACATGCATCCGACTGAATAAGAAAATATCTCAACCAACCATGACAGTTGAAACATATTCGTTGTGTTTAATTACGTCACGATTCTACTCACACCACCTTAACTGTCGGGACTGACAGAACTGTGACAGGACTGAATTCCGCATCACTCGATTGCGATTCCGTCAATTCGGAACGTTCTGGCTGACAATCAAGCATCCCCATAGACATTTGTAATTGCAGACACCATCATATCGGTACTCATTTACAGCTGGGTAGACTGGCATATGGGGATGAAGTAACTTATACAGGGACACAATAACTTGATATACAGCTCGGGCCTCGAACCTGCCATCACCAATTCACCCCCTTCCCCCAAAACCGTTGCACAAATCTGTCTCTAAATGTAATTTCCCGTGGTCCTGAACAAGTGTTTTTAAAACATTTGATTTATTTATACTACATGCAGAGTACATGAAATGAAAAGCCTAACAAGGCGAAAACATTTCAAGAAAATGGTATTCCCGAAATGCTTGAAACCATTGGTAATTAGCCCATTGCACCGACAACCCAGCAGTCGACTGGTCCAAACAGAACAAATTCGTGCACGAACAAGTGAATTCATTGAGATATGGATATATCGATAGCCTGATAACGCGAAGACAACAGCATCTTATTGTTATTGTCGGACTGGTTGGGCTTAAAGACTTATGGTTGTAAACCTGAAAGCGGCAGAAGCTGAATAGAAGGGGCACAAAACACTTAACTTTCGCAGAAGAAATGAAATGAAATGAAATTGGGATTAACGTCCTTCTGTTCTGCTCCTAAACTGGGCTAATGAAGACGGGCATACGCCATACAGTGTGCTATGAGGGAAATTTTTGCCCTGGCTGCGGCACTACTCTTATATCGAATTCCAACTGCCAAGGGATCTTTTACGTGCACGCCAATATGTACACAGGACCTCCGTTTTTCGTCCCACCCGAACGACTATACAGCTGTCCTTGTTATGCCCTCCATCCTGCATCACTGACAAGGTGAAACTACGCCGGAAAATCTGGATGAACTTTCTCGGCCAATGCAGGGATCGAACACCCGACCTCAAGGGTAGCGAGCCAGCGTCTTACCCACTTAGCCACGTGATCCCCAACTCGAAGAAGAGACAAAAGAGACCATGACACCATGGGGCTAGTATATTTCTTTTTACGTTACGTTTGATTGAAATTGATCTCGGAGGGAGATACTGTGCAGTCGGAATTCCGTCATAGCAAACATCATGACACACACCCGTCTACCTTATCACGGTTACTTCGTATCTGTGTAGACCAGGTTATAAAGGACTTAGCCTAATCGGCAGATTGCAACAATCTGATTAAAATACAGATCTATATTTAGTTTCGTTTTTTATACTTTCGATGGCCTACACTACATGAAGATCTGGCCGGTTGTATTGGAAGGTCGCGTGAGGGGTCGTACTAGCGGCTTTTGACCCTATGACGTCATACATTAATTAATCAATCAACGTTGACGTTTCTAGTGGTTTACCCACAGACCGTTTCATTTGGCTAATCCCTCACTTCAACCAGAACGCCAGTAATATAACAACTCTTTCAGATCCTAGTGTAGTAAAGACAAGTAAAACAACATTTTGAACTATAGAAACGAAACGAAATAGGAACTGTGTTTTAATCAGATTGAGATTGCAACTAATTGTAAGCAAGTTTCCCTCATTCCATCGAGGTCAGAATCACTAGATAAATGTACCAAATGATACAATATTACCAGAATAAAATAAATCTCCTGTGTCAATATTTTAATATTAATTATTAATACAAAGAAATTCCGGTTTTCCGTG